TCGTACTTCCTTAACATTCCCAATCGTCCGAGCCTTCGCGCAGTCGCATTCTCAAGCCAGTTAGTGTTGTACGTTTAAAGAAAAGGAAAGGAAAAACCAAAAATTGATGCCGTCTCTAAGAGCGGCTAGAGCGAACGAGCCTCTACTGGGGATGAAGGGCATAAGTGATACCTTCCGACAACTAGAACCACAAGCTAGCAAAACTCATAGTAAATAAACGAACATATGAAATGGCTTCTGTTAGGCCATCCGATGATGTACAATTCTTACGTTCAATGGGAATTTTCGACATATCTGACAGTGCGTTGCTAGATTTAACGTGATAGCGCCCGCTTAGCGAAGCAATAGACTCCCTCCTAACCGCTGATGACATTGTACGCTAGGATCACATCGTTCCTATTGAAAAAAAGCACCAGCGTCGTGTGCATTGAAATGTCTTAACTGTCACAACGCTGAAAAAAGACCTACTTGCCCTGTATATTCTCTAAGCTAGAGCTAAGTTTGATCAGGAAACAGTACCTTTAAAAGAATCACAATGTCCGATGCGTTCTTATTGGCAAACACTGAATATTATAGAAAAGTATTAAACTGTAACGTACTGTCTGGCAAGGGCGTGATCTACGCGAGGTATGAGGACTGCCGTCACGAAATTCAGAATTCGTATCGTACTAGAAAAATTTAACACTTTTTATAAACTTAAATTCTCAATACGTCATTTGGCCGTACCTATAATGCGTAGGCCATTACTAAAATCGCTTATTCAAACGTTTCGCAGAAATGAAAGGCAATAAGGGACGAAAATAGAAAAATAGTTGAAATGAGAACGTGATTTTTACCTTTTCGGATTACTCCACTGGAAGCATGCCCTCCCAATAAGCGCAGGAGTTATTAACAACCTGTTTTTATTCACATAAATTGTATATATACACTAATATTGTATATATATATATATACAATATTAATGATTGTTCCGCCCCTTATAGCTTCTTAATGTTCAGTATTTTATGGCAGGATAAATGAAGACCGAGGTCATTCGACTCGGCCAAATGTCCAACGTTCAAGTAGTAACCTTTTCACCTGAATTTGTGTTAAATCGCTGTTAAAAACGTTGCACATGATGTTTTTTTAATTGCACTGAGAAAAGTAAAAGTATTTGTCAGTGTCAACTGCGGCGATGAGCGTAATCATGGCTAATTTTCCTGAATTTTCATATTATAACGCTCGGTAGGAAACGACTAACGTTGGTTGACAGACGTTCTGAAGTGTAATACTTAAACAAAAATATTTATCTGTCACACATTGAACCTTATTGTGCCGGTCCTGCTCAGCACAATTTTAACTATAAAGGATATTTAACAATAGGTGACCGACACGGAATTAACCGTCTGTCGCCGTCATTTTCGACGTACTCAACGAGGCCATTTTCGAGAGTCAATGACCATTAGCTGAACTGACAAGGGGTCGTTAACTGAATAACTAGGTGAAAGCGAGCCGGCCGCCTTCAAACAGCTTCGTTTTTACGTTCCTGAACGGCTTGACGTCTGTCAAAATTGCCGTTTCCTTATGATACCGAATGACGTGATAATTGAAGGTCAACACAAACTCTAGTTGTGCCATTGTGATTAGACATCCCATCAGGTTATTTGGACAATTTTCGAAATTTTTCAAATATCCCGCGCAAACCAAGCCTTATGCGTGTCACTGCCAATGCTTCTCATATATATTACATCTTATTTTAGGCAAGTTGCGCATATCGGTTTAGTATAAACCAATAATTGGTACTTATAATCCATGTCTTTAAAAAAAATACAGTTTGCCAAGTGTAAGTAAGAAGTTTTCCCTGTCTTTAAAAATATTAGAATCCCTACTGCATAATTTATAGTATTATTATATAGATCGACTCATATATAGTGAGTTTAAGAAGGATACGTAATTATCTGCAGCCTCACTCCAGTACTTTTGTCAGTACATGCAAGATGAAATCATCTGTTTTTAGAGTGTGTGTGTGTCTGCGGGTGTGTAATAAACCTAGAATTCAAACATCTTTCTCTTTTGCACATTTTCAGGGGCTTTAGAGTTACTAATAAGCGGCCTTATAATAGAAAACTCAAATAATCTTGCCTTGTTTTTTAATCAAGTTATGGAAAAAGGCTTAGCCATCATATGTCTGTTCTTAGCCACAAGTTTCAGTGATCATCAGCGACAAAAAATAATTAATTTCCCGTCGTATTTAGTTAGCAAGCCCAGTTACCTGCTTTGAGTATCTACAACATAAGCATTCACGAGGATAAGTTCTAGCCAACTAAATACGTTTTTTTTAAGTTCTGACGTTTACTCTTAGGACACCACATTTTGGTAAAGGTGAATGCACCAAATCCCTACGTAACAGTTAGTTGTAAACTGCTTTTTTAAACGGCTTATTTTTTAATATTCTGTTTAGTGCAGTCTGAGCTGGCCAACAACGTTGTCCGTTCACGGACCTTACTCCCGCTAGAAGCATGCGCACAGTTTAAAATCGAAATAAACATAAGTTATAATTGAGTTACTTTTTCATTCGACTATCATACTGGTTGAACGTATTCAGTTCTTCTCTTTATTTTACACGGAATCAACCCACTTCCTGATTATTATCATTGGGTAACTGATTTTTCTTCGTATTTCGAATTTTGTTAAAGCAGTTGGGGATTCGTTGATTGGTACGCGGATTTTGGCGCCTTCATTTTAGCGGCGTACGTTTAGTTCCACATCGATGTTTGGGCTGCACCCAAGCTTACTAGCGCACCAAAAAAAATGAAACTTTTTCTTTGTAAGACCCAAGCGAGTACACCTCTTCAGGCACAGTATACTTCTGCTTGTCTACGCCTCCACCCGCATCTACTCGTTACGGTGAGCTTACTAAATAGAAAAATATCCAGGGGTTAGCAGCATTCGTTCCCAGAGGGCGCCACATTATTGTAGAGCGGATACTCGTTGTTCACCAGGTATCTTCATGACCGTCATCGCTTTATTCTTTCTCTCTCTCTCTCTCCCTGTCGACCACGGACTTTTTCTCTCCTACCGAGCGAAATCCAGCCGAAGCTCTAGCGCCTCGAACCTGCTTACTTTACCACCAACACAATTTTGCCGTTGTTGGCGTCGCTTCGAATGATTGAGGTTGCTGCTGAGGCACCTTATATACCTCATTGTTACTATTGCTGTTGTTGTTTTTCTGTCCACAATCTCAGTCGAGTCTCAGATAATGATGAGGCTGGCTGGCTGGCTGGCTGGCTGGCTGGCTCGTTCTTGCCCATAATGCGGTGGCATCGTGAGGCTTCGCAGTTCCATCTACTTTTCGATGGTGCTGTCCATCGTTCCTTACAGCCGTCGCCTTCAACCGACCGCTAATGTCTTCAGGCTTTCAGCACGGCGATCTTCTCCTTGTCGCGCTTCTTGCTTCGTTTCGGGAGCGAATAAAAACGCAACAGCCTCGCGAACGGCAGCAAGCTCTTGGCGTCTTTGGTTGTCTCTTTTATTTGGTCCAGCCATCCCTGACAGCGGCAACGTCATAGGTGGCGATGAACGCGGCGCCATCATCGAATCGTTCGTCGAGGGCGCCGAAAGGGCGAAGACATGAAGACGAGGCGCTAGACGAAGGATTCGACGCCACCGATCGACGGCACGACATGCCAAACTACAACTGATGAAGAGAATCGGAGTAAAGAAAAAAAAATTAACGAAAGCTAGTCGAGGGCGCAAGAACTGAAATCGATTGAGCTAGGGGGCTTATTGTTATAATGAATCTGTTGCGCAGTCCGAACAAGAGTTACTAGGCTGTTTTGACATAGTTCCTTTTTCTATTTATGTAGCTTCGCTCTTGGAGAACTTCGATTAAGTTAGTTTGACTATTTTCTATGATTAATTGAGCAGTGTATTATCATTCGCAGAGTATTTTTGATTCTTTACATTAGCCGAACAAACACGTTATTTGAGAAGCCTTGTAAGTAAGAAATACTATTAGATTTGAGGTGAAAAACTGTACCCCACAATTACAACAAACTGAATAAAATTCTTAAAAAGTATAGGAAAAAAAGCAACTAATTCAGTTGAGCTTATTGTAACAAAAGAGACAGGAAACTATAATAGGATTCACTACTCATGTGTGACAAACATTGTGTTTACACGTATGATTAACGTCATATAGAGCGTAGGTTCGGTCGCGTTTTTGAATCTTCGAAATTTTGTGTGCATCTGTTGTTAAAAATGGCCGCCCATAAATGTCTTAATGTAGTATGACCCATATCTGGACGACGAAGCAGACGTCTTCTGATCGTATTAAGTTTGGGTGAAATAGATTATTGAGGTATAAGCTTCCTTTTCGAAATATCTGTATGGCGATGCGTGTACTTAACTAGGTTCATCAGCATATTAGCGGTAATGTTAACTTTGTACCATCTTCAAGTGGCTATTTGAGGCTGTTAGCATGATATAACATTTTTACGAGAAAACCTTTAGGAGGACTCGTATATGCGTCACAGGGGTTCGAGCGTATCGATTGGAATTGACGTAATTTATATGAGAATGCATTGACTCCGAAGGACGAGAGTGAAATACTTTAATGTTTAAAGATGCAGTTGTCATTTTCTTCAAATACGCTTTAATCGAGGGAAACAAAATAATGATAAAATAACATCGTTCACTGAGAATTCCTGCTTTATTATTACTATTTAATTTGATCGTACAGGTCTTTTTGTCCAAAGGACTAGACTGGTAGTATCCTACATCCATCACAGTCACCAGAAATCTGAAGAGCGGCGCGCAACCGTTGTCTAATCGCTGTCTACCTGCCCTTTCCCATTTATTAGATCCTTACCCAAAAACCTCTCCCACAGAGAAAGAGCGCCACCAAGATCTCGGTGTTCGTAACAGAAATTGACTTAAGCTCTAGTCAGTCTTCTAAGAAAAGTTATAAAAGTCATGCCATTGCGCCTTTGCATAATATGAATGCTGTCATGGAACAAAATTATTTTTGAATGAATCACAGTGTCTGTCTTTTCTTCATGATAAAATTCAGTTTCAGTGTGTCACCATCGCCAAATGTATTTTTGTTGGATACTTGACCACTATTTGGATAACAAACGATAATGTGCAGTGTGAGCATTGGATAACATGAACTTTGGGAAATTTGTGTGCCAGCCTAAAGGATATCAACCAGTGCGTTATCCTGGCTCCTCCCATCACCACCATGAAGTTTTCCACGATTTCGGCGAGCATCAGTGTTCTCGTTTGCACTCTGGTAATATATTTTTCGAGGTCGTGCTGGGCTGGAGGTTATGTTCGGCCCCAGGATTGCACGTGGGAGCCGACGTCCGATACTTCAGTTGTATCAATGACATGCAACGTCCTCACTTTACGAGGCGGACATGATCCGACGAACTTTTCCCTCATCATGTCGGATCACACCGTCAAATTAGTCATTCGTTGTATCGATCCAATGCTTCAAAGTGATATGGCGAACAATACGTTTGAACATCTGAACAGACTTTACTCACTTAGGATTGAGCGTTGCAAACTCGACAAGATACCGTCTAAAGCGTTTCAAGGCCTGTCAGACCTTGAGCACTTAAGCGTAAAAACATACAACTCAGATTGGGGCCGTCGCTACCCTCTGCTGGTATCGCCAGCCAGCTTCACGCCTCTTAGATCTATACAAACGCTTGATCTTAGTTACAATAACATCGAACGATTGCCGCCTGGTATTCTCTGTGGTCTTCGTCACTTACAGTTTGCTAACTTTACGAAGAACTTGTTTGATGAAGTGCTCGACATGGGATTCGGGCCGACTGCTATTGCCGAGCGATGCGTAACGTACGTGCGTGAACTGCAAGTTTCCTCAAACAGACTTAGAGCGTTACCTGAGAAGGGCTTTGCTACACTTGTACATCTAGAAGAACTACGGCTGGATCACAATCAGTTAGCAAGGATGGAAACAACTGCATTATGGGGACTCGCGAAACTCGAACGCCTTGATATTGCGAATAACATGTTGGTGGCCCTTCCAGCCGCGCTTTTTCAGCCAACTTCAAAATTGTCAGAGCTGTATTTGCGGAACAATTCTCTAAGTGCACTGCCTCCTGGTCTATTTACTGGACTTGATGAATTGAAGCTGCTTGATTTAGCCTACAATCAGCTCTCAGCACTTGGGTGGCTAGGGCCAGAAGTTTCGCTCTCGCGTCTTCTTGTGCTTGATCTTAGTTACAACAGATTGACCCGCCTAGATGCCAGCTCTTTTCAGTCTTTGATCAATCTTCAGACACTTCAACTGCATGACAATTTGATTGAGTTCATAGCCGATAATACGTTTAGCAGGCTCAGCAATTTACAGACATTGGTGCTAAGTAACAATCGACTCCAAATTATCGGACCTCTAATGATGCAAGGCCTAAGCTTATCCATTGTGGCCCTTCAGCTGGATCATAATCGTATCAAAGACATACATATTGCTGCATTCAAAAATGTTTCTATGCTACAGGAGTTGAATATCGCCAGCAATAGGCTAACTTCAGTGCCGGCCGCCGTATCATCTCTAAACATGTTACGGTCACTCGATCTGGCTGATAATGAGATCAGAGAAATAGCCAATGTCTCGTATCACGGTCTAGAACAATTATACGCACTGAATTTGATGGGTAACAAGATCCGTAATATCAGCCAGGGCGCATTCACCGATTTACCTTCTGTTCGGATACTTAATCTGGCCAGTAACGATATCCGAACTATCGAACAGGGGACGTTTGATGATGTGTCTGGCCTTCATTATCTCCGACTAGATTCAAATGCTATCGAGGATGTGAATGGCTTGTTTAGCAATCTGCACGATCTGATTATGCTCAATATATCAGTAAATCGGGTGCGATGGTTTGACTACGCTCTTATTCCGGTAGGTCTTCAATGGCTTGACGTGCACAATAACCAGATTGAAGCGCTGGGCAACTATTTTGAGCTTGAACAGGGTCTTAAGTTGCGTACACTTGACGCGTCCTTTAATAAACTTACTGACCTTGACTCGTCATCGCTTCCCAACGGGATCGAAATCGTATTCCTCAAAAATAACAGCTTGAAACGCATTCAGCCTTTTACGTTCCTCGGAAAACAAAATCTAACGCGAGTAGATCTGTCGCATAACGATTTACAGACACTTGATATGACAACGTTCCGCCTAAGTGAGGTACCATTACGAAAACCCCTACCAGAATTTGCTATCGCCGGTAATCCATTCGAATGCGACTGCCAAATGGAGTGGCTTCAGCACCTGCAAAATCCAGCTGCAATGACAAGTCACAACGATTCACGCCAGTATCCTCGAGTCATCGATTTATACCGCGTCGAATGCAAGCTAAGCTTCTCAAAGAACGGACAAGTCTTGCCACTGGGCAAGGTCAAGCCTGAGCAGTTCTTCTGCGAATACAAGAGCCAGTGTTCTTCGCTCTGTCACTGTTGCCATTTTGATGCGTGTGACTGTGAGACGGTCTGTCCGGATAATTGTACCTGCTACCATAATAAGTCGTGGACTACAAACATTGTCGACTGCAGTGCTCGTAACCACAAACAGATCCCTAAACAGCTGGCCATTGACGCAACAGAGATCTACGTGGACGGAAACGATATAGCGGTCGTAACGCCATATATGTTTGCTGGCCGCAAAAACGTCAAAGTTCTCTTCCTTAACAATTCGAACGTAATGACCATTCAGAATGACACCTTTGCCAGTATGCAAGAACTGCGTGTTCTACGTCTCGAAAACAACCAGATTTCTGTTCTCTACGGTCCCGAATTCAACGGCCTTTTTAAACTCCAGGAGCTATATTTATCCGACAACAAACTTCAGCACGTAAGAAATATTACTTTTACTAACCTTAAAAGCCTTCGAATTCTTCACATTGACCGGAATCGCCTTATGGAAATGTCTCTATGGAGTTTGCAGCACAATCCACGGCTCAGCGACTTACGTCTGGCGGATAACCCGTGGACGTGTAGCTGCCCTTTCACTCAAGATGTTGCGAAGTTCCTCCACGAGCGTGGAGACTCGGTGAAAGACATCTTCCAGTTGTCTTGTGCGTACAATGAAACGAGCGCGTTGCCTCTATGGGAGCTAAACATAACCCAATGCCGTCAATCCAAGGCAACCTCCCTCGTGCAACGTCTCCAGTTTCATTCTTTCGGTGAACTTCTGCCTCTCCTCACCACGCTATCGATACTTTCGATCGTTCTACTGGTCGTTGTCGTTACGTTATTTACTAATCGTCACCAAATCAGCGTTTGGTTATTCAGCCGTTGCGGAATTCGCATGTTCCATCGCGCGCCCATCGAAGAAGAGAAGCTTTTTGATGCGTTCGTCTCGTACAGCAAAAAAGACGAAGCGTTTGTGGCACAAATACTCGCACCAGAGTTGGAGTGCGGTAATCCGCCGTACCGTCTCTGTTTGCACTATCGGGATCTACCGATGGCAGGCACCTACTTAAGTGAAGCGATTCAAGAAGCTGTAGAAAGCTCTCGCAGAACGATTGTGGTTCTTTCAGAGCATTTTCTGAAAAGTGAATGGTGCCGCTATGAGTTTAAGTCTGCTCACCACGAGGTGCTAAACAATAATCATCACAAGCTGGTGGTCATCTTCCTCGGTAAAGTGTCATACCGTGAGCTCGATCCTGATATTCGGATATGGCTTAAACACAGTACGTTCCTGCACTGGGGCGAGAAAAACTTTTGGGATAAGGTGAGATATGCTATGCCTCCAGACGCGCCCCGTCACCGTAAAGTAATGCGAGCAGATCTGCACACGGTTGCTGTGCACATATGACGACAGGATCAATTGCCTTCGGACGGCGTCCTAGAACGAACGTTGCCGAGGCAGTATCCCGCATCAGAAGCAACCTCGTTCTCTTTCCATCTCAGCTCACCTGATTGTCGTTGGCAGACGAATCAACCTCGACATAGAAATCTATCGAGAACGGCAAAACCAACACAGCAAGAACAGGCCATAGCCCTGCACTTTTGCGATGATTCCTATAGCTACAATCATGAGCCCGTCGAAGCTATATACGAAAGCATCAAAGACAAAATAGAACAAGGATAGGTAATGTAATGATCTAAACAGGCTCGATAAGTCGACGGCTCGCTCGATTTTCAGGCGGCACATGTTCCATGTGCCCTCCATGTGGAGTTAAACTGCACCATGGGCAGTAGTCAGTCGCAAAATCCAGCCGCCGCCATTTTCTCATACACAACAACTGCAACAGGGGCAGCTGGATAGCACTGAGCACCTATACTGAGAAGAGTAATGCGGTAGCTGTTTTCATGATGTCTATCCGCGCAATGGCTTGGAAGCAGCATACGCATCGATTGCTTGTAAATAGTAGAGCTAACAACATACAAGTGGATTGTTGTCTGAAGCATTTTTACTGCAAGAAAAAGAGCGGCAGGAGTGGGATTTATTTAAAAGTGTGCGCTTTGCCGGTTCTATTGCGATAATCTATTTCACAAGCTAGATTTTCCTTTTGGTAATGTCGAATGTACATAGTACGACGGATAGCTAGACAGAAGGGCGGATATACGTTTTTAAGCAATGATTTATAAATCTCTCCGTGTCCTACACAGTGTATGTACATATTTATCTATAGTAAAAACTGTGGTCTCCACAGCCTCTTCGGTTATGTCTTTTTCGAGTAGATAAAGTATTAGGTGTTGTTGTAAGAAGTCAACGGTGACGAAGTTGCCTGTTGCATGCATTTATCTGCATGCACTGGTCTTTACCATAATAAAAATTGAAGATAATTTCTTGTCTTCATGTTTGCAGACGACATAAAGTGGTTAGCCATTTAATTTGTTTCTTGTCTATGCAAAAATATTTATATAATTGTGTAGTTATATTAGTCAACAGATTGCTAAAATGTACTGCGAAATACGAAATTAGTTGGTTTTAGAAATAGCGTTGCTTAAGACGGAAAGTTGTGCAAATAACGATCGCGATCACTGCTGTGTTATTACCTCTATTTATTGGAAAGTACTTATTTAAGAGTACTTAACAACAGTAACTAAGCAAAGTGCCATCAATTAACCATTTCCTACCAATCTGAAAAAGGAACGACGCCGTAGACATTGTACAAAGTGAAGTACATAGGAATGTATAATGATGTAAATATATACTTTTGTATATATACTGCAAGATTGTGCCAATTTAAGAAAGACAAGGACAACGGCCGCAGGCGGTAAAAGAAGCCAGATATAGCAGAAAAAGCAGAAATATAATTAAAAAAATACTTTAAGAATAAATAAAGCAGCAAAGAGCTGTTTGAGGATTATAACAACAAAATGCGTGCGCTAATTTGTAAGTTACCATAATTCGATATATCACGTTAAAAAACTGACTGATTGGTAAAGCCATGACTACGGAATAATATTAGATAGAGAAACTATTCAGACATCTTTTAGGAAACCCTCTTAATTATTGGGTACTCTAAAATAATTTCATTTCGGTTGCAAGGATCTATGTTCTGTATCCAAAATATACTGTTCACCAGATAAAATTATATTTGTTAAATTTCAAGCCTTACGTAAGAACACAATGTAAAAGGTAGAGCCAGTTGCTTGCTTCTATTCAATGTTTTATTTATACTATAATTATATGCAAATAACCCTAAGTAAAACTAAAGCATATACATATGAGGTTGTTAAAAGTCTTAGCCGGTACATTTGTGAAATATTTTTTTCCATAAGTACAAACTTGTGTTCACTTACGAAACTGTACTTTTGACAACGCTCAACCTCCCGTAAGTTATTAGGATAACAGAAATCACACAATAACAACGTCAGTTGTGAATCTGTTTTTCTAACTATTTTTACATAATTATACAGTATTGCATTGTATTTGCATGCTTCAAAACTTCTCTCATGAACTCTGCCACTGAGTTGGGCAATTGATTCTAGCCAAGAAGCGGTTCCGGATCGATGGGGCAAGTGGCCAGTGAAAGCATTTCTACTGGATTCGTTACCAACAGGAGTAATTCCGTTCAGGCGGCAGTGACTGTAAGGATGATTTCATACGTCTCAGCATCCTAACGGGTACACGATCCATACAGTTTAATTACTTTCTACTTGCCCTGTTCGGTGAAGGGTGCCATCTCTCCTGCGTGTTTCTTACGACAGAGGCCAAGTGTTAATGTTTTGCGAGGTATTTAACCCACTGTCGTATTATTGAAAATTTAAGCTTATACACCTCCATCGATGAAGGTGACTAATTAATGGGGTACGCAATGAAAACATCGAACTGCTTAAACAGGCCTTGTATAACAAAAATTGAGTATGGTATTGCGATTGTCAAATATAGGCCATTGGGATTCCTCCAAAGTTTGAACTCTTGTTATAGCCATGCTAACAAATACATAATTTTATTTTTTAAAACACGAATGTTTAAAGACACAACTTTGATCCTTTGAATTTTAATTGTTTGGTGCAATGCTTTATATATAAGCAACGGTCAAAGCGTAGCTTCGATGCCGACTTATTTCGATTTACTTAGAATTCATACTTATCGGTGTCACCCTAGACAAGGTGCTTTGCAAATAAAGTTAGTGATATTACTTAAATGGAAACCTGACCAGTCGTATTACACAAAAGGTTATTTTTTTTTTGTTCCCATTCATTGTATAATCGAAAAAAAAACGCATGGGAATTGCCTATGGCCAAGCTTCACTTACTTTTCACTCGTTCAGGACAAATTTCTCTAGGATTGCATGCTCTTAAAATTACCGAGTACAGACACTAAAAATACAGAGTCCTTAACAGTAGCAATAATAACTGAGTTTTATTTATAGACGTGCAGCCATTTATGTGTGGAGGTACGTGCACTCCTGTGAGCTTACCAGACCGAACCGAACCGATCGGAGAGGACTAGAAAAGAGATCTCTATTTATGCTAGAGCTGGTACTCAGCATCCTCAATTGCTGCCATGTGTTGTCTGCTAATCTTCGACTGCAAATTACCATTTCGTTTCTCACCGATAGACGAGGAGCACAGCCGAGCTGCCTGAACTGTCCTTCAGCTAGCATTGCTTTGGGCATGATCGAGGTAAAACGTCATCAAGGAAACGGATGCGTTTTCAATCTTAGGCTCCTGCGGTCGTCTGACCGCCTTCCGCTTTAGAAGGACGAGGGATTATATCCAAAAAAGAAGACGTGGGTCGGAGTTTTTCAGTTCAGTGGCGATAAGCAGCGAAAAAACATTGAGAACCCCTGGGCAAGTGGGCCAGACTTAGGATCAACGGAAAAGTGGGGCATTAAGAAAGTGCTGCCTTCATGATAGGTAGTATGATGTTTTTGCAGCGGGATTCTTAGGTATTGAGGGAGAGGCTGAAGCATTTGATCAGTTCCACATAACTCTGCTCGCTGAGCCGGGTAAAAGCAAGACAAACGAGGGGGACGAAGTTCATCGCGTAAATAAAATTCCTAGCGCATTTTTAGAGGCCGTTTCACGTGTGGCAGTTGACAGTCATTTAATGCTTATACTGAAAGGAGCTGAATTCAGTTAATGAATCTGAATATGCGAGTAGAGCGTGTGGAAGGGTCTGAAGTTATGACACTTATTTGGCATTTTCTAGTGTACACACAACGATACTGAAGCCTAGCTCAGGCGAACGGTTGTTCATTTTTGTGTGAACAATTTGTCTCAGGAAAAGGCTGAAATTCCCAATGTACAGTGAATTATAGCAGATGTTAAATTAATCTATTTATATGCCGGTTATGATTGGGAGGCGAATATCTAATTATTTCCTATAATTTTTCTCTGGCAACCGTAATGTGCGTTAGCCTTATAATGTCAAACCAAATCGAAATACAGCTGACATGGTATCAAACTCAGATTCATTTCAACAAATATTACCACCGTTCAGCTTACACGAAAAGAAGTCATTTGCAAGTCAGATACACAGTGAATAGCCAGCTTACCAAAAGGGAAAAATGTGCACACTTGAGATCGTTGTCTGATTGACACGATCTTCCTGAATAGCCACATCTTCCGCTTAATCACTCGTCATATGATTATCGCCTGATTAGGCCGGTCCTAGTGGTCATAGGAGAGAGCTCATGTGTGTGCGCATTATTTGCATTGCAAGTTTAGTACTTATGGAAAGATGGTGTCCATGGGCATTCTTTGCAAGGTGTTTTCTGCTCACAAAACGTAAGAAACAAGCAGACCAAAGTAACACGTAATGCCATCGATAGTAGCCAATTAGCTAATGATTGTTGATTTTTCAAGACGGAGAATAGCAGACTTAGCTCTGGCAGTTTTTATGTATGACTGCAATATATTTCGACACAGATTTCCACCCTCTAATGCAACTGAAGTCTTAAAAATGTATGCTATACCTAGGAGGTGTAACGATAGTGTACGTTCCGAAGTATTAACCACATTGGACTTCAATCTTCTCATCACTTCCCAGAAAATACGCCAGCTTTCTACGAGGATCACGTGACGATGGTGATAATAATAATAGCAACTCTTACGATGCTGATTAATTTGCCAATCTTTGTTCAAATGAAAGCGAATCTTCTCTAACTGATCGTTGCCAACAGTTGCACAAAAACTTATAGTACGTCAAGCTTATGTTATAATTCGAGCAAAACACTTTCTAGAGACACGCAATAATGTTATAGCGTCAATAGCTTCAGAAGGATCCTTCTATAGTAATCGTATTCAATCTGTTGCGCTCCGATTTGTCTTATTCACGTGACAAGCTTGTCTGTCTGCAAAATGCATTGCCAGAGTGTTCATCTTTATAGACTCTATGCTGTTGAAACTATAGAGAAATTCACAGATTTGTCTTAAAAACAGTTGGTTTCAAATCGGAGTGCTTTATGAGGACAAGTTTTTTCTTATCGTGCACATATTACTTAAAAGACAAACCATTAATAGTACAGGATATCTAATAGTATTTGCCTAGCGCAAATCAGGGATGCATCTTTCACCTATTTAAAGAAAGTAATTTTTAGGCCACTAGGCGGTGAGTTTTCTGCGAGTGTTTTCTTTTTTTTCCTATCGGTATTCGTTTTTAGAGTACACAAAGACAAGCCCTGTCATTCTATTGAAATAACACTTATTTCCAACTGAAGCCCATTGCAAACTATGAACATTATCGTGACCAGTCTTAAAGACAGCAGTGTTCATCACACAAGGTAGGACTCCTGCGTAAAAACATCGTTGTACATCTTACAGAATCTAGCCATAATACTAATTACAATACTATAGTATCATAACTCTAACTTGAATGCACCCGAATGCTCTTGATGATGGCGTAGCGGTAACGCGACCGTTATGTCGTGGTGGTGTCGGGTCCTCATGTATTTTGTCATGCAGTATGTCCGGAAAGTTAGATTGCTTCAGATTAGGTCAACGGATGCCTAAAGATTGTTCTGTTGTGTGGCCTAAATAGAATACGGTTTCAAAAAGCTGAGACGCTTGACGAGTTTGAATTTTGTTTAGAATGCAAACTTCTCTCTATTGTTAACTAATTGTAACACAGCTGAACTAGCGTTTTCATCTTATCGGATACCAGTTGTGTACTTAACTAAATTTAAGAGCACCTTTATTGATGCAAAGAGGAGTGTATTTTTTTTGAGAAATCTGTGTACAGAAAATTTTCTTGTAAAGGGAGTTATTACTTGCTCAATAAGTTAACACTTCGTTTGATGGCTTAAGCCCCAAACACCGCGCCTCGTATCCTACACTTAAAAATGACTATCCAGCGTGCGTTCGTAACCGGTTCGACAAGGTAACGGCCAGGAGGCTGCTACACTCTGGGATCACTGTAGTTGCGTTAAGTCTTACGTCCAGAACTGCATCAGCTTTACTTCTGCATAACTCTTAGAGTATCTAGATTTAGGATGCAATCAATGTGTCTTTATTGAACAATATATATATATATATATATATGTAGTAAATTATAGCGTCCTTCATAGGAAAGATTATGCCAATTTGATATTTTGACAATATTAGTATTCTTGCAAGTTGGAAATAGCAACAAAAGCAACCTAGCGGATGGACGAAAACAGTCGTAGAGTTAGTGATAGTATTGCTCGATACAAGCAGTACGAATATCTTTTCTAATTGAAGCTCCTATTGTGGCACTTCTGACATTGTGATATCAATTAGAAGTTTCTGTTTGTCGTTGTCAGGTATGGGGTCGACTCTGAAGTTGAATCGAAGGCAGCTGGCAAGGAAAGGAAACTATTCCCATCGCGCCCGCACTATTCATGCACAGGATAAACATAACCTTTCAATCATTTTGTCTATTATTCGACTATTCGTGGGCAACGGTAATGATAGCCGCGTAGCAGTATCTGACACATAAAAAATTCAATTGATAAAACATGAGCAACCCTGTTCGTCACTATATCACATCGAGCGCGCTTTAAGAGGAGATGGAATAACTGAAAGTTTCCGCTATTAGCCAAAAAATTATTATCAGCGAGACATTTAGCCGCTTCGAAGATAAGAAAGATTGCCATGTGGAGATCTCGATCTGTGCAAGATTATTCTATTCTGGGTTATCAAGATTGATATTGATCGTATTGGGGAAAACACAGTAGTAGCGCACTACAGATTGTTTTTCACGTCCACTGGTGACCTGTCAATGACTATTACTCGTGGCTTCTAGTGCCATTAGCTAGCTAGAGCCATATTCAACGCACCTTTTTATTATGGACTCTTCTATATTAATCACTCGTACAATGAAACCCGACTGGCACAAAGATCGCTTTATCAAGCGAAATTGACGAAAACAAATTTTGTATCTGTTTTATCCTGTGTTCTTAAACTCTGTCTCCTTCAAAGGCCGTCCCATCAAATGCGCGCCAATCAGCATGACTTAAACGTTGTTTATTACTTATTTTAATCAAACGATCTTTTGGCTAGCCTTGTCCATTGACTAATAGAGTGGCACGCTTTTGCGTGCGCGTATTGTTGTTGAACTTTTTGAAGTAACGTTTATCCTTAAACTCAATTTTCCCGCATGCTGCGATGTAGAGAGACGATGCTTTCTATCTTGATAAGTGTGAGTGCTAGTCATACCGAGTAGCGTAAAAGCGAGCCAGTCTAGCTGATCTCCAGCAATATAGACCATGATGTATACGCAAGGAATAGAGCGAAGCCCAAGCATACAAGTGTCGCCGTTGAGTGTTTGGCTGATAGCCGTTGTAGCCAATTAAGTGGCGACCGTATTTTCACGGGCGAGAGCCATCTGGCGGTATTCTCGCTCTCAGCTGAATCAGTCATTAGACATTATGTAGATAGATATGTTCCAGCGCGTAGCGTACATGCTAGCAGTGCCCCGCAACCAGTTGACTGGTCTTGCTGGCCTAGGGATGTTTGCGTAAGAACGGAACGGTGCTACTTTACAAGAAACTGTGCATTGAAGGCGTTTGTTATTAGTTCCCCTTTATTCAGTAGTTTATAGCTTACGTATTCCAGAGCGGTACCCGAATGGGAACACCAGGTAGAATGTGGAGCCTAAAACCTCTTTCGATAGAGCGCGTAACTCCAGTACCAAGTGATATTGACATTGCTTTGGCACAGGTACCAAAGAACATTGATGTGCTTGCCGAGGAGATTACACTGTTGCCTGCCGAGTACGATTGCTATGGAAGACAGAAAGCAAAGGTGGATCTTTCCGTTTTTGACAGACTGAGAGATCAAGAGGATGGTTACTATGTACTCGTGACGGGCATTACGCCCACACCGTTCGGCGAAGGTAAGACCACCACGACAGTGGGTTTATGTCAGGCCCTCGGAGCCCACCTAAACCGAAATACATTTGCTTGCCTTCGACAGCCCTCACAGGGACCAATTTTCGGCATTAAAGGCGGTGCTGCTGGCGGTGGGTATTCCCAGGTCATTCCAATGGTAGATTTCAATCTCCACCTCACCGGCGACATGCACGCGATAACCGCGGCCAACAACCTGCTTGCAGCGCAGATCGATACCCGCATTTACCATGAAAAGACACAAAGTGATAAAGGCCTTTACAACAGACTTGTACCTAGTAAAGGTGGAAAGCGTGAGTTTTCACCGATTCAACTGAAGAGGCTCAAGAAACTCGGTATCAACAAGACGAATCCTGATGACCTTACTCCTGAAGAAAGAGAATCATTTGCCCGCCTTAATATTGATCCCAAATCGATTACCTTCAACCGTGTGATCGACACGTCTGACCGCTTCCTTCGTGAAATTACAATCGGTGAGGGCGTACTAGAGCAAAGATTCTCGCGTAAGAGCCAGTTTGACATCACACCTGCTAGTGAAGTCATGGCCATTATGGCTTTGGCCACCTCGCTAGATGACCTTAAAGATCGCCTTGGAAAAATTGTTATCGCGTCGAATTTGAAAGGAGAGCCGGTTACTGCCGATGATCTCGCGTGTACAGGTCCAATGATCGTGCTGCTTCAGGAAGCGTTCAAGCCAACGCTGATGCAGACGCTTGAGGGAACCCCTGTGTTCGTTCATTGCGGACCCTTCGCCAACATTGCCCACGGATGCTCGTCAATTATTGCCGATAAGATTGCGTTGAAGCTCGTCGGCTCAAATGGTTTCGTTGTCACAGAGAGCGGCTTTGGTGCTGATCTTGGAATGGAGAAGTTTTTTAATATTAAGTGCCGTTATTCCGGTTTAACGCCCAATGCCGTCGTTATTGTAGCGACAATTCGAGCCCTAAAATCTCACGGAGGTGGGAGCATTGTGTCTCTAGGCAGCCCGTTGCCTGACGAGTACACCCAGGAAAACCTCGATCTTGTTAAGAAGGGTTTCTGTAATCTCAAAAAACATATAGAGAATATTGGCAAGTTCGGTCTACCAGCAATTGTTGCTATTAATAGATTCAAGTTTGATACTGAGCGAGAGTTACTGCTCCTGAGAAATCTGTGTCTTTGTAACGGAGCCGCTGCCGCAGTTATATGCAATCACTGGGCCGAAGGAGGTGAAGGAGCAGTAGACCTAGCTAAATCCGTTGTTAATGCATGCGAGACTTGGAAGGGTTCCTTCCGCTTCCTCTATCCATTAGAGTTAACGATTGAGGAAAAGCTCGAGAGAATTGCCCGTGAGATATATGGTGCTGGAAGTGTCGAATTTAGTGATAAGGCTAAGGCTAAAGTTAAGTTGTACACAGCTCAGGGCTTCGGTAACTTACCTCTCTGCATCTCAAAGACGCAGCTATCACTTTCTCATGATCAAAGCTTTTTAGGCGCCCCCGTCGATTTCAAGTTCCCAGTGCGGGACATTAGAGCCAGTGTAGGCGCTGGCTTCTTGTATGCGTTATCAGGTGACATCATGACCATGACGGGACTAAACACCCGACCGGCAATCTACGACATCGATCTTGACACAAAGACCGGCCGGGTTATTGGCCTATTCTAATTCTTCAAAAGCACACTATCCAGTGTACAACGAAAAGAAGAAGAGCGTGTCCAGCTTGATCGTTCACGTTCTATGGCGAGTTTGAGTGCATCTACCTCGGTAGTTGGCTGGCCGAATCACACGCTCGCATTGGAAACCGGCAAAGCTGTCTATGTTACGTGCGCTTTGTAACTAAACATACTCATCATATCATGCATTTGACTGTCTGCAATCTAAGCTATATTAAGCAAAACAATAAAATCAGTGTCAAAAAGATCGATGCAGCTTTTCCTAACATAAAAATAGTTGAATAGCAATAGAGAAAATAGGATACTTTGCTATATCACTTGCCTCTTCTTGGATCAAATCCGACCCGTCTCTGCACAATACATATATCACCCAGACTACCAGTAAACAAATTATTTATAGGAGGTCCGAAAGCGTTCGTCTATTTTGCATGGGAAGTGCGGTGAGAACAAATCTCAATGAAATTTAATTTACAGGAACATGTTGCCTATTAGAGACGCATCCATTAGTATGTACACTAACTGGATGCCAATGTTGTGCGACAGTAGCTGTTTGAGAAGTCTAAAATCTAAAAAAACACGTTTTTTCGACCTTGATAATTGTGACTCCACACGAACTTGTATCTGGTCTAATATTGCTATAGAGTTTTACTTGTTATACCGTTAATTAGCGATATTACAAACACGCAATTTAATTTAATAAAAGAACATTCGAGATTTTCTTTCCTCTCCGTGTCGCCTTCAATCGGAAACTTCGCAGAAGATTTTTAACTGTTGCAATGGAAAATGTAACCACACTTTGTCTAAATACAGAAAATCAAGGATTTGGATCAACAACTGGGCAGGTAACAAGAATAGATGCATACATGCAAGCCTTACATAATAAATCACGACGAATTCTGACTACGGCCACGTCTAAGTTTATTACTGCAATATTTTTAAAAATCGATCTCTAAGATTGGCTGGATAAAGCCATTATTATGCTGATATTGTAACAATTCGACATAAAGGCATACCGTTCACGCGCTCTGCCATAGCATTTTCTATAAACGCTGGTACTCGCCCGGAACGTAGATAAGATACGTTGGCATTAGTGCCGATTGGTCACAGCAAGGGATGAAGATTTTTGTCAAACGTAAATTTTTATTGGTAAATAAAAAAAAAAGTTGGGATTATTTGCGTTGCAACAGCCATAAATATAATGACTACCTAGATGCACCTTGAAGATTACAGTTACAACTTACAAGCATTTCGATAAGCAATTTCGCGCTTAGGGAAATTACGGAAGTTCACTCAGCCATTGTAGTTCGAACCAGGCCAACTGGTTATAAGCTGCCGAATGCAACCGTTGTCAATCAACTGATTAGAGAGATTATGCTTAAGTAAACTTAACTTTATAATCTAAAGCAGATAACAGGATGATATAATTTTATAATTAACATAGTGTTTAGCACGTAACGGTGCGAAATAGATGCAAACGGCCAATTCATACGTTTCTAGTCCTTGTTGAACTGTTAGCTCACCTTTCACATGTTACGTTCTAGTCTTATATGGGATACCTAAACCAAAAAATCAAGCTTACTTACTGGTCTACTCGCACTGTCCCAGATGACCAGTTCTCGCAAGCTCGTTACCGAGATATTTTTTGCTGTTACGCTTGCTGTATCAAGTCGCGTCGCTGAACTGCAGTGAAAAAAGATTACGGTGAGTGTAACCGGTGTCACCGGTGGCTGAGCGTCGACGATTTCTTCGCTTTCGGGTAATGACTTATGGCGCCGCAGGGGCGACATGGCCGCTTCCGCTGCGTCGTGCCTCAGTTTCCGAATTGAACGGCACTTCTTCCGGTCCATATCGCCGATGAGGCCTTACTTGTGCCTTGTAGGCGAAAGGACAGCTGGGAGACAGCTAGTACAGCGGGCCGCGGGAAGGCCGTGTGGCACAGCAGTAAATTAAAGGCTGACATGGAAACAAATCGGCCATCATTACCGCTAGAAGGGCGTAGGTGCCCAGGAAACGGGTCGATAAAGGTCAGCTTGGATACTGTCCGTCGTGCACGGTGAGGAGTGAAGTCTACTCTAGAAAAAAGCTACCAACTATAGAATAACTGTACAATGGGCTAGTATATGTTTCACTATATTAAACTACATTAACAAGGATACCACTAGAGCTTATTGACGCTATGCGCTCTTTAGTGAGCAAAGGGAGAATCCATCTGTAAAGCTACTAATAAATTTTAACAGTACTATTCCTAACAGTATTAGTTTATTAGGGAAATAAATTTATATAGAGGCGTGAAATACTATGAAACGACTGAATACTATATATAAAACAGGTTAGCATTATTACTGCGGCATTTTCCATCGAGGAATATTCTTGCCTATGTACGACACTGCGTAAAATACTTTGCTATATGTTACTAGTACCGCATTCAATAGCAATAACAATAAAGTAGTAAGTATCCCAAGAAGCTTATGAAGAAGAAATGGGTTGCATCTATCTACTACTTACATACATACTCGTTATCGTAATGTTTGTGGTCCTTATTTGATAACTTTCTAGCGCAACTGGAAAACAACGTATTGTATGTTCACGTTATTAAATAATTTTATTTAAATTAAATTTTTTTTTTGAGAATGACTAATCTATTAAAGTGCGTTAAAAACGTCCCGACGACTCATGCTATAGAATAACGACACCAGTCTTAGATCAAGGGATCATGCCGTTTGATCTATTACGGTACATTTTGAGTTTACGTAAGTTCTACAATTTCGATTTAGATTTCACTTGCTTTTATTATAAAAAAAAATCTCTTATTTTGAGTTTATCTGATGCATGAAATATGGAAGTACGCGTAGGCTAACGTTCAGCCGAGAGGCGCCCCATTTCTTCATAGATTTCAATTCCCAATCAGGGCTGCTATATGTCTGATAATCGCCGACTACTTTTTTGCTTTGCACAAGAACCTTTCTGGTTTTTGCCTGAAGCGTTTTCTAGTAACATGACGTATATCCGTGTCATCAAACCACGCAGGAGTTAATCTCACCTTATTTCACGTAAACCTTTTTTGTTTCCTCGTTTTCCTATGATGATTACGCACTAAATTATACATACGCTCGTGTCCTATATATATATATATATATATATATATATATATATATACCTTTTTTTATTTCGTTTATTGCATATTCTGTGCATGATCTTCGCTGTTTTTCTTTTTTTGCACCGAATATATAGGATGCAAAAAAATGTCCAATGTTATTATGATACTGTTCACTCGATGCTTTTGCTTGGCAAAATTGATAGCTATCGTAAGAAGAAGCAATTCAACGCGTGGACTGCGACGCCACTGAATGGAGTTTTCAGGGCGAAAGGGGGTTTCCATGCATTGACTTTTGGCCGACGTTTTCTGTTGGCACTGCCGTCGTCCCTCTTCGATTTCGTTTTTTTTTCTTCTGTTGTTGATTTGTTTACACTGGTTTTTGACAGTGTTACGCTTATCCACTGCATCACTCATGAGTTATACGCTGTCTAGTTTTTTTGCGTGAAATAATCTTCTACGGCCGGACCGCGAAAAATGGTTCGTAGATGCCATACACATATTTATGCAACTCGTTAGTCTTGGTCGAAATACGATTTCCCCAGAGACAGCCAGCCAGCCAGGTGAACATTATGGCAAGTGGCCAGATTGCTGTTGTAAATAGATTCACGTCTAAGTACGTGACAGCTACCCATTTTGTAGCGAAGCGTTGCTGGATCGGTGAACAGGTGATCTGTAGACTTACGATGAATATTGCTGCGGTCGACTGGTATCAACACTAATAAAGGCTATAGCGAAAGCAATCCAATGGGTGTACCGTTAGGAGATGCGAGATACCTTTTAAAAACCCACTTATATAATGGGTGAATAACAGTTATTACAGAAACACTCGGTGTCTATGGGTGTTCATTTCAAATTGCCAAGCAAATAAGTCTAAATGCTGTAGCGGTAAATTAACAAACTCATCGATCCCCTTATACTATATTCTACGATCTTTTGGCGACTCCTTTCAGCCTATGTTTTAGATCGATACGCACGTTCAGTAGCTTGATCGAAATCGAATGAGGTTCTTCGTAAAAGACGGAGCATATAGCCTTTGTTTTTATATTATAACATTTTCTGACACTTCTGCTCTGCGTAGCATAAGCAGAAGTGCCAGAAAATGTTAGCTTCTTTTCTTTTTTTTTAGATAAATTCCAAGCTTACCTCTTTGAATCTCCACCTAATGCAGCTGGTCTTGAGAAACGCGCTCTTTATTTGAGTTGACAGTAAAGTTGCTTTAAATACAGCTACTTCGACGAACTCAATCGACGCACGACAGATAGTCTTTTCTTCTTTCTTACTCATTTGAATTTAATCTGATTATTTCTAATCCAATTGTGGGATGAAGGAACTCTTGTAAATATTCGTCGTGCCTTTGAGCGGTCACACACTAGCAGACGACAAGTAGCCGCAGCTAGTCTGGCGCCCAAATGCGACCGCTCGTTATTTCCGTCGATTCGTATCTTTTGTCGTCGAACACTTGTTTCTGGCTAAGATAAATCGAAACGATTCGCAGAAGCCTATACCTGTCGCGAGACACATCAATGTGTAGGTGGTAAGTTATTGTTTAATATGTGTTTTAAGCTTGCGCTACCAAGCAGCTGCTCGTATCTATAAAGGCGTAGGCCTATCTAGCGTACCAGTGAATGCGTACTGATAGAAAGTTTTTTTTCGTAACACATAAAAGGACCGGTTTGCGACTGACGAGTACTTGTAGATATGCAAAGATACAGATAAATATATATAAGTGATAACTGAACACATGGAAAATAGGCATTTGTTGAAGAAATACGCGGCTTGTGACTTCATGGAAAAAATCCCAGGATGCTGCGTGGTCCCATTCGGCCTATCAATACATTCCTATTCTTGCCAGACAGATACATCTATTAGTGTTAAGGTTTTTGTGCTTGTACATTTAAGATAGTTCAAGCGGACGATGCAACTCTTCTTTGTCATTACATCTCACACGAATTGCATGGTATGTGTAGCATGCGCAGCTCAAACCGGGACGGTACCTAGTCCTGTCTGCCAAGCCGTGTAAGGGTTCAGCAAAGCACTTGGCCACCTCCAAAAAGGAAAACATATGCACCCGCTTGTTTCGTAAGCTATTAGAGAAGATTTTTGAAAATTGGTTCGCAATCGGTATCCACAATACACTGACATTTAGATTTGTTCTCTTTCACCAATAAATAAATCTATGGTTCACTATGGGAAATAAAAAAATCTATGGGAATTAAACGTTGCTATTCTACTAGTAATTCTAAAAGCGGCTATGTGTATAAACAGTGATGTGCAACGATCATAGGTTTGCAGTAACTCTTATAGTTTGTATGGATTATTGAGAATTTCACTCAATGATAGGCAAACTATAAGAACTTTGCTCAGTGACCGCTTGTTAGTCTTGTTTTACAATGCATTTTCTGGACACCTTAATCCGTATACACGTTAGTGACTACCATCGGAAAAACGCGTTTTTCCAGAAAAAATATTCCGGTCTGTTTAACACTGATCGTATTGCGACGTTCACAATGGCTACCGTGCGTGAGAAGCTTATCGTGCGCGTTTCCTCTCGCATCTAACTAATCTAGATAAGTTTACACTTGAGCCAAACATACGGTGCAGATGGATGGACGTAAGCTATAGTACGTGGCTTTGCTGTGGTGGTCATTGCTATTGTCTTTTTGGAAGCATTTGATAAACAAGTTGAAGATCATCGCCATTGATTGACGGCCGATCAAGCACGAATCCTACCTACGAAGCTCCCAATTAGCAAATCCTAGTGTATATGGCAAACGAAAGGAAGACGCGATCGTTACGCTGTAGAACGTTTAGCACATTTATATTATGTTGTCTGTCATGATCCCTTCATACCGCTTCACGTTGGGGATCATGGGTAACTCGCGGTAATTTCATTGAGTTCGCCATCTCTGCGTGGGTGGCAGCTTGGCATCATAACACAACAGGCATTTATATGCGTAGACAGCAGGCACTTTACTTCGATCCTGGCCACAGCCGCCAATGCTGCTGGCATCTTAGCGTGCCATCGACACCATAATCTCCTGCAGTCATGGGTGTCAGCCATGTCTCAGCGTCGGCTTGGTCAGCGACGTCACCGAGCTGGCAGCCATTCCCCCGCTGGTACGTTTCGTTGGTGGGTGTTTGAGACGGTATAAACGTTCGTTGTTCTTTCGCGTGCCCAATAGCTTATTGGTGTTACCGTCGGTGTCGATCTGTTGTTTAATATCGAAAACACACACATGCATATCCATACAGGTTATATATACAATACAATACGCGGTCCCGCACGATGGATGTTAGTGACTGGCAATTGCTTAGAGAAACAATAAATTCTGAGCAATGTAATG